AAACAACACACAGCACTTTCTCCATTTACTAACATTTTGAGAAAATTAAAAGGAGTGTTTTCTGCATATCTTTACCTTACCATTCTCAAAAGCAAGAACAAAACCCAGAAATTTTCTCCACTGAAATAAACACTGCCGGCAGAGGCTACTTGAAGCAGATTGGGCGAAGCCTTCCTGGTAAATTAAAGACTAACTTGGCTGGTGGACTGTGATGACAGGTGTAGCTCCTGGGGCTGGGGCTGGAGCTGGACTGATACGAGAAGGCTTGTGCTTAGCAGACTGAGGGGCAGCTTGAAGGTAGGCAAAGGAAACAGTTGTCTACACAGGTACAGGCATGGAACCCAAAGAGAAGAGAGATGGTACAGCAAACTCACTAGTTTTCAATTGTAAGATTACCAACCACCAATGATATACAATACATGACTATTTGCATTTAAACAAATTAGTGTGAAAGACAGCAGCACTTGCCAAATGAATTCTATTTTTAAGTGGAGGGGGGGGTCAGTGAACTGACTCTCTTCACAGAGGAAATACTGGGTCTGTCGTTTTGACCCCTCTTCTCCTAAGAGATAATTTCAGTGTCTAGTATAGGAATCTTGAGGTCCCAAAACAACCAGTTTCCCTAGAGGCAGCCCTGTACTTTGAATGTTCAAAGCAGGCTCTCTGACTATTGCTCTGGGGAGGGCAGTTAGGTAATTGTCTCCCACGTGCCAGGAAACAAACCACTAAGCACACAGCTATTTGACAAAACACCTGATCCTCTGCCTGACTGCTGCCTCTCCCTGAAAGGCACACAGCAGAACAGTGTCTGACAGAATCCTCACTCGGAGTTCATTGCAACACCCAGCCAAGTTTGTTTCCTAAAAGCCAGACAATTCCAACATCAACAGACTCCATAGGAGCCTAAAAGCTACCAAGAGCTATTCCTGCATTGTAGTTACTTTACCCTCAGCACACACCAGCATTCTGGAGAAAATCCTTTCAAAATCTTCCTATACAAGAGGTTTTCCTTTGTTTAAAGCTTCCTGTCAGTCAGGAGTATGCAGCCAATGCACAAGACAGTCCAGCCGAGATCAGCAGCTGCGCTCTACAAATACGAGAGCGTTTCCCCACCTCAGCAGTGGTCATGCTCTGGGGAAACCCCTTTACTGCTGATGGGACTTCGCCATTGCTGAGTTAGAAAGGAAAATGACCACTGGGCACAGCTCACCAGAGCGAAAAGGAAAAAACCCACACTCCAGTAATGAATCTACAGGCTACGAACCCACACCAAGACACTGCTAGAATAAAATTCAGACTTGCCGATTGTTCAGCAGGCTAGAAAACAGCTGAGAACTTACCCAGCGAGGCAATGCAATGAGTGAACACAGGCTGCTGGCTGAGGTGGCCTGTGTTCCAGCGGTACTGTGCCATTTCTAGCTATGTGACCTAAGGCAGGTTACTAACTTGCCTAGTCTGTCTATTCAGCTAATGTGTAAGTAAAATGCAAACAACACTAGCAATTACTAGCACAGTCAGTGCTTCAGGTCAGCACCCGGCACATAAATGGGCGAGGGCCTTACGTGGAATGCACAAACAAAAACCTGCCTTGAGGTATCAGAGGGGATCGCTGGCTTCAGCATAAAGTTGTCTCCAGAGAGTTCACATTTTGTTGTTGTCGTTAATAAAAAAAATAAAATCAAAGATATATTGGGACAAAAATGTTAATATGTTACTTTAAATGTTGATGATAACTACACATGGAGGCCTATAATACCTCTCCCTTCCTTCCAAAAACTGTATGTGCTAAGAGATTGCTGTGATTCCATCACACACTTACTAAGAATTCAAGAAGCTCGTGAAAGCATTTTCCAAGTCTGGGATTTCTTCAGTTCACTTGAGAATACTAAAGTAGGAACCTGAAGCCAGTAGGTTCTAGGCACAGCTTTGCTACAAACTGCTACGTGCTTAGACAAAACACTTCCTTTTCTTTTCCTTGGAAGGCTCACTTCTCTCTTCTGAAAAAATGAAGCACTGAGGCTGAATGACCATAAAGTCCTAGGAGATCAAAAACCCCTGTTCCCCACAGCGTTCACTTCGATCACCTGTGTTGCTGAAACTGACTTCCCTCTTTCATCATTTTCTCTTTTCATTTTCACCTGTCCTCAGTCCTTTTCTGGATAGTGCACAATTCCTGATATAGTAACAGAGCTTCTTACCTAACTCTAAATAGTAAGTATGTTGCCTCGAATGAAAATCTTCTATTTAACCACGCAAGTCAGAAACCTTCAGAGTGAGAGATTCACTCCTAAACCTTCAACATTCATCCCGATTTTTCTGTGGCGCTCTAGAAAGGCAGCTTCTGCACCAGTTTTGCTCCAGCAAATTCCTCCTCAACTTGTTTCCCTCTTTCCTGGATCCCTAGATTAAAGAGCTTTCCAGAGACAATCCAAAGCCTCTCTCTTCTCCCATCATTGCTCTAGGTCAGATTCAAATCTCTGTTTGCTTACTTTTCATCCTAAGAGAAGAAAATTCTTGAAGTCCTTGGCCTCAAAGGCCAGTGGTTTCCAGACTTTGGGTTTTCCCGCTGTGTTAAAATTTCTCCTGTCTCCCATCACATTTGACGATCCCCTCTGGGGTTGCTAAAGTTTTCTTGCCAATTCACAATAGTAAAATGATACCACCATACACTATCACCATAATTTCAGAAGGAAATTTTAGCATTAGAAACTAGGAGGGACAGAATTTCAGAATAAAATATAATCCTTACACGGAATAAAGAAGTGATCAACTTCATGGCTTTATGAACAAATCTCGACAGTGTCTTTTGTTGCTCATGTCTTTACAGTACAGGAACGACTTCAGAGACATGCACAGGTGATCAGATCAGGACATAAAATGCAATATGGTACACGTTACCGCATATACCTTATTTCAATCCATTTTAAGGAGGAGCTTTCAAATGCTTCTCCTTACATTGGGTTGGACTTTACAGCCAGCACTGGGCTTTCTATATGGATCTCCACCAATGCAATTCTCTTGCAGGGACTCCTGCTGATATTCTTCACATTTCTGGATCAATAATACCAACCTGAAACAACCCATGTCTTGAATCCAGTAGCCCGTGTGATACAGTTCTGATATGGTCTCATCACAAAAACATGCACCCATACTGCCTCCATCCCTTTCATCTGTCTGCAGGCTGATGCGCTGCAGATATTTCTCTACCTTTTTATTCTGGCTCCTTACAAGCCTGCACTTCTGAATTCCTCCATTATTACAGGCCCACTTACACTGTTTGCTCCCCATGCCTGTGCCCTTCTCCTCTAAAACTCTTCTGTTTTCCTACGGATCTTCTGTTTTTTTCTTTTCTTTTGACAATCAGAGTTAGACAGGGAGAGAGGGAGAGAGGGAGAGAGGGAGAGAGGGAGAGAGAGAGAGAAAGGTCTTCCTTTTTTTTCCCGTTGGTTCACCCCCCAAATGGTCACTATGGCAGGCGCACTGCACTGATCTGAAGCCAGGAGCCAGGTGATTCCTCTTGGTCTCCCATGTGGGTGCAGGGCCCAAGCACTTGGGGCATCCTCCACCACCCTCCTGGGCCACAGTAGAGAGCTGGCCTGGAAGAAGGGCAACCGGGACAGAATCCGGCGCCCCAACTGGGACTAGAACCTGGGGTGCCGGCGCCACAGGCAGAGGATTAGCCTAGTGAGCTGCAGCACCGGCCCAATCTTCTGTTTTTCTTAACATCAACTCTATAAAATTTTTTCTTGTGCCTGTTCCTATAATAATTAATAATCACAGGATATTTACAGAGGAAAAAAGATTTCTAAAACTTCTTTCTCTTAAAGTTCACTTAATTATATTAACCTAGCCCCACCATGGTATATGGTCTTCAATTTAGGTCATTAAAATGGACCACTTCAAAACTCCTGGCTCCTGGCTTCCGTCTAGCCAGCCCTGGCCATTGAGGCCATTTGGGGAGTGAACCAGCAGATGGCTCTCTCTGTAACTGGGCCACTCAAATAATAAATAAAATCTTTTAAAAAAATAAAATGGAGGGGCTGGTGCTGTGGCACAGTGGGTTAACACCCTGGCCTGAAGCACTGGCATCCCATATGGGCACCAGTTCGAGACCTGGCTGTTCCACTTCCGATCCAGCTCTCTGCTGTGGCCTGGGAAAGCAGTAGAAGATGGCCCAAGTCCTTGGGCCCCTGCACCCACATGGGAGACCCAGAAGAAGCTCCTGGTTCCTGGCTTCAGATCAGCACAGCTCTGGCTGTTGTGGCCAACTGGGGAGTGAACCAGCAGATGGAAGACCTCCCTCACTCTCACTCTCACTCTCTCTCTCTGTCTGTCTCTCTCTCTCTCTCTCTTTCTCTCTGCATCTCCTCTGTGTAACTCTGACTTTAAAATAAATAAATAAATCTTTAAATAAAATAAAATGGACTACTTGGGTGTTATAATTGAGTTCACATGTGATTATTATAGAGCAAAAGGTAATGGATATAAGTGGATGATAATACTGCTTTTCACCTATTTGTGATATTTTTAGGAAGTAGTAAAGAAATAAAAGTAAATTTTGACAGAAGAGAAGATGAAGGGACAAAAGCTTAAAATTGTCACAATTCATGTCAATACAGTCAAAGAAACAGAGCTTTATTTCTACTGATCTTGTTTATGTCAAATAATCCCTTTTGATGAGGAAAAACATTTTTTAGTTGATGTAAATTTTATATTAGTTTTTTAGACATTAGAATTTGACAGAGAATTGTGCCTTCTCTTACTTTCCATATTATATACATTCGTTTTTCCTTTTCAACAAAAGTTATATATGAATGTTCACTATGTTTTTCAATATTTTTTAGACATATATAACCTGGGTAGTGAAAGGCCTCTTAAGTGTGCAAGATAATCACTGTAAACTGCTACTGTTGATTCTTCCACACTTGTTTCTCATACATATACTATCATATGCATTAGTAAACAATAGGTTTACAAGTAAGAAAGATTCTACCACTTACCAAAATAAGCCCTGATATTAGTGAAGACGTGCCTGTCAGGGCCACATAGAACTTCGGTGTTAATGTGTTCAAAAACATGCTCACTGGAAAACAGAAAAGGGAAGAACAAAGAAAGCATTAGCATGTCAGTAAAACCAAGGGTTTTTTTTTCATGTTTTCTTTCTGAGGAAATCATTTGTCCCTGATGATAAGAATTCTTAGGGGCTGGTGCTTTTGCGCAATGGGTTAAAGCCCTGGCCTGAGGCCCTGGCATCCCATATGGGCGTTGGTTTGTGTCCCAGCTGCTCCTCTTCGGATCCAGCTCTCTGCTATGGCCTGGGATAGCAGTGGAAGATGGCCCAAGTCCTTGGGCCCCTGCACCTACGTGGAAGACCTGGAAGAAGCTCCTGGCTTCTGATTTCGGATGGGCGCAGCTCCGGCCATTGCAGCCATCTGGGGAGTGAACCAGCGGATGGAAGACCTCTCTCTCTGTCTCTACCTCTCTCTGTAACTCTCTTTCAAATAAATAAAATCTATAAAAAAAGAAGAATTCTTAGATTCACAGCAAAGTCACATTAAAATAGTTCACATCATGTAGGGTCTGATTACTAGGTGTCAAGTTACATATCCTGAAAGAAAAAAGTTATGTATAAGAACAAAGGGCAACTTTGTCATTTCTACCTCCCAAAATGATTGCTGAGAATACTTCTTATGGACTAATAACCACTGAAGAGTTTAATAAGACTGGTTTGTAACTGCTAGTCAAAAGGAAAAGGTGCTCTTATATTTTCTGTGGGACCTGCACATCAGAGCCCTTGAGGAGTCAACAGTAGTATTTCAGCCTTAGAGCAATTGGAAAAAAAACTATAGTGAATATACTAAATAGTCATTTAAATAACTGTATAGTTGGGGCCGGCACCATGGCTCACTAGGCTAATCCTCCACCTGCGGCGCCGGCACCCCGGGTTCTAGTCCCAGTTGCCCCTCTTCTAGTCCAGCTCTCTGCTGTGGACCAGGAAGGCAGTGGAGGATGAAGCAAGTGCTTGGGCCCTGAACCCACATGGGAGACCAGGAGGAAGCACCTGGCTCCTGGCTTCGGATCGGCCGCAGCGCGCCCGCCATAGCGGCCATTTGAGGGGTGAACCAGTGGAAGGAAGACCTTTCTCTCTGTCTCTCTCTCACTGTCTAACTTTGCCTGTCAAAAAAAAAAAAAAAAAAAAACTGTATAATTGAATAGTTACTTAAATAACTGTTTAACTAAATCATTATTTAACACTATGGTTACCCCTAAGGACAAAGCACAAACTAGCAAAAGGTAGCACATATCAGTAAGTTTTTTTCAACTCCTTCAAAATGTTGCTAGATGACTAAAAATGAATGTTCATTGCCAGGCACCCTCTTTACCAATCCTCATCACTCTTCACATCCACATCTAGTTCATCTGGCTGCTCATTAATTAAGCCGCTGATTTTTTATATATTGTACAAAATTTTGATTATTACCAGAACTAAAACAGATATAATGAGTTTTTTGCAAAGATATTCACATTTCTTGACTAAATCTGTTAGTGGAAGGAAACCACATCCAGTCTGGTTTCAGAATAAGGCTTTAGAGGAGGGCTGCCCTGAGCTGGGCCCAGACAGTGAAGTAAGATCACTGAAATGAACAGCTTCCATGTTCATTCATTCAACAAATATTTCATTCTGTTTATCAATGAGACCATGGATAAAGAATGAAAGAATGACTCACACACAGTTCCCGCCCTTCAGAAGCCCACAGTGCATCTGGGGAACACAGTACACAAACAACCACTACAAAGCTTGATATGTGCATAGATAGGCCCTATACACAGGACGTTATGAAAACACACAAAAGGGATGAACCCAATGTTGGGGGAGGGGGGGAGCAGGTGCAGGAGGATACCAGGGAAGGTGTCCAAGAGAAGAGGCCAACTCCTCTGAGTCCTGAGGAACAAGCAAGAGTTAACCAGACCAAAGAAGGGAGGAGGAAGAACAGGATGGCAGTTTGAGCAAAGGAAGGCACCTGCTTTAAGGTGCTCAAGAGAGAGACAGACACTTTTAAACAGATAGAAGGGATGAAGAGAGGAGTTAGGGCAGTAGCCCCATTGTAAAGACGCAGAAGCAGAAGGTTTCAATGATTCCACTTTTCCTTGCTACCTGGGCTTCCTGTTAATAAGCCCCACTCTGGGGGCTGGTGCGGTGGCACAGTGGGTTAACACCCTGGCCTGAAGCACCGGCATCCCATATGGGCACCGGTTCGAGTCCCGGCTGTTCCACTTCCAATCCAGCTCTCTGCTGTGGCCTGGGAAAGCAGTAGAAGATGGCCCAAGTCCTTGGGCCCCTGCACCCACATGGGAGACCCGGAAGAAGCTCCTGGCTCCTGGCTTCAGATCGGCGCAGTTCCAGCCAATTGGGGAGTGAACCATCGGATGGAAGACCTCTATCTCTTTCTGCCTCTCCTCCCTCTGTGTAACTCTGACTTTCAAATAAATAATAAATAAATCTTAAAAAGAAAAAAAGAAAAAAAGAAGCCCTCCTCTGTTAAATGAGTGAGTTTAACTTCTGGTCTGCCATTGGCAATCACGAGAGACTGGACTAAGGCAGTGTGCTGAATGAAGTCCACATTCACAACTTGGAATAAGTGGACTGTTCCAGAGAACTAGAAGATGGAAAAGAAGGAGAGATCAACCTCAAGCTGGAACAGAAGAGGGAGAAGATACAGTATAGTTGAGGAAGGTTTGCTCGATCATTTAAAATTGACAGTGATGTCATCTCTTGTGCAAGAGTTAGTAGAAGGAGGCAGATCTTTTTAAAAGGAAACAATTACACTATAAGAAATCCTCCGGGCTGGCATTGTGGTGTAGTGGTAAAGCCACAGCCTGCAATGCCATCATCTCAATATGGGTGCCAGTTCATGTCCCAGCTGCTCCATTTCCAATCCAATTTCCTACTAACAGCCTGTGAAAAGCAGCCGAAGATGGCTCAAGTGTTTGGGCCCCTGCTACCCACAGGGGAGACCCAGATGAAGTTCCTGGCCCAGCGCTGGCTGCTGCAGCCATTTGGGGAATGAACCAGCAGGAAGAAGATTCTGTGTGTGTGTGTGTGTGTGTGTTTGTGTCTCTTTCTCTGTAAGTTTGATTTTCAAAACTAAATAAATCTAAAAAAAATCCTCTAAATTTCTCAAAATCCCCCTCTTCACACCATGAATGGTTTTACATTTCCCATTATTGAAAAAAATCACCGTAAGACTATTTTCTTTGTTATTCTGTATTTATGAACATTCATATCTGTACCATATACTTTTCTAGGTTTTGGGGGAACAAATTGATCACAGAATTTAATGAAAATTTCTAAAAGAAAAGAAAAAAATTACCTGGATTAGAAATATTTCACTAGCTGCTGTTAAGTTACCAGCAACAAAAGCATAAAGCAATGGAAAGGAAAGGTTTTCTACTGAAATTTGCTGACTTTTAAAAAAGATCTATTTTATTTATTTTAAAGACAGAGTTACAGAGAGAGAGGTAGAGACAGAGACAGGGACACACACACAGAGAGAGAGAGAGAGAGAGAGAGAGATATCTTCCATCCGCTAGTTCACTCCCCTAATGGCCGCAACAGCTGGAGCTGAGCTTATCTGCAGCCAGGAGCTTCTTTCAGGTCTCTCACATGGATTCAGGGGCCCAAGGACCATCCTCCACCGCTTTCCCAGACACATTAGCAAAGAGCTGGATGGGAAGTGGAGTAGCCAGCAGTAGAACCAGTGCCTTTATGGGATGCCAGCACTGCTCCACAGTATCAGACTCAAAACCCACTGATTTGAAAGAGGAAAAGGAATCAGAATTAACTGATAAGTGAAAAGAAACAATAACATTATTTGAGTTTTTAAAACAGATGAAAGATTCTACTAATTTGCTTTTAAAGTTTTACTGTCCTTTGGAAAATTAAAAAAATAGACATAAAAATTGAAAATATTTTTGAGGTACCCTGAGAGGTGTCAACACATATATATATTGTATAATGTCCAACCAGGGTAAACATATCTATATCCTCAAACATCTATTTTTATGGTGAAAACATTCAATTCTATCTTTCAGGGTTTATTTATCATTTTTTTTTTATTCTTGAAAGAAAGACAGAGATGTACAGAAATTGTCTATCCACTGGTCCACGCCCTAAATACCCACAAAGGCCAAGCAAGCCTGGGCCAGGCTGAAGCCTGGTGCTAGGAACTCAATCTGGGTCTCCCAAATGGGTGGCCGGGTCTTGACTCCATGAGCCATTACTGCAGCCTCCCACAATGCACATTAGCAAAAAGCCAGAATTGGAAGCAGAGCCAGGAGTCAAATCCCAGCACTCTGATACAGGATATGGGTGTCCGAAGCAATGTTTTAAACTGTTGAACCAAATACCAACCCCTGCCCAGGTGGTTTTTTTTTTTTTCACTAGAGAAATATAAAATATACTATCTGCTGTCACCCTAGTATGCAGCAGAAACCCAGAGCTTCTTTTTATATCTAACTATTGAAGAACCTTAAAAATCAAACCAAGATGGGGTGACCTAAGCCAATACCACTAAAAACAAGAAGTCACCTTTGCCCCAAATAAAAATTAAAGTTTAAAATTACAGCCCTAAACTTTTTCCCCAAAGCTAAAAATTAGGTGCAGCTATAAAACAAGGGACCCTATGCTTAGCTAGCTGAGACACTTGTGCCTGGCTGTGCTAAGACCTAACCCAGTTTGTATACCTCCTAATACTCAAATAACAGTGTGGGAAGCGGGACGCCGCTCTCCCACAAGGGGAACAAAGGGAGCGAGACGTCGTCCCCCCTCAGGGTGAACAAGATGGCGCTGGCAGGGAAAGGAACTACTAAAGAAGTAAACAACAAAATGGCGACAAGGTGCATGCCTCCCATGTGATCCTGTAGCTGATTGGATAGAAGATGCATGCCCTTCACAGGAACAACTGGCGGATTGGACTGCTGTGTGCATGGACTCTATAGTGCTTTTGATTGGTCGCTGAGGGTATATAAACCGTGTGGCTTGTACTGGGGGCGCTCTCTGGACTCCTGAGTTCAGGAGGTCCA